TGTGTGTGTGTGTGTGTGTGTGTGTGTGTGTGTGTGTGAGAGAGAGAGAGAGAGAGAGAGAGAGAGAGAGAGAGAGAGAGAGAGAGAGAGAAATTCCCCTGAGTGCCTCCAACGGCGACAGGGGCACACTGAAAAGATCGATAGTACCGGTAGGGGCATATCGGAAATTTTCCCAACGGCTATCCGGTAGGGGCATGATGCAAATTTGATGTGGGTCTGGTAGGGGCACTACGAAAACATATGAGGCCCAAATGACCAGGGTTTTATGGAAAATTTGACTTCTGGTCAAAGGGGCGAGACAGGGTAAATCGGCTGTCGGAGGGGCGTGATGCAAATTAATGGAAAATACAGGGGCGCCAGAGAAATTTTCCCAGAAAGAAATCATGGGTTAGAGTTTGAACACACCCAGAAACAACAACAAAAAAGTGGGCTAGGGTCCAGAGGTACCAGCTGCCTGAGGTGGACTGGCTCCCCGTACACTTTATCTTACACCTGTACCCAAAATGAGACAGGGACCCAGTCTACCACAAGATCTGTGTGAGGTTAAAACCCCAGCTGCAACCACCAGGCAGCTAGCTTCAAACCCGACCTTCAATAATACGTGTGGGTGGGTGAGTGGGTGGGTAGGCGTGTGCGTGCGTGCATGTGTGTGTGTGGGTGAGTGGGTGGGTGGGCGCGTGCGTGCATGTGTGTGTGTGGGTGGCCGGGCAGGCGGGCGGGGAAGGTTCCCTGGGAACAAGTTCTTTTTTTCGTGCGGACAATGCCAGCCAAGAAAGGAAAGGGGGAAAAAAAATGACGCATGTTAAGGTTTGAACACGCACCAAGAAAAAAAACTGTATGCGTGCGGGTGTGGGCAGGCAAGGAAGGTTCCCCTGCAACAGTTTTCTCCACGCGGACAATCCCAGCCCCGAAACGGAAGGGAAAAAAAAAATCATCGCGTGTTAGAGTGTGATCACATGCCCAGAAAAAGAAAAAAATCCATCAAGTGTCAGGGTTTGAACACATGCCCAGAAAAAAAATATTCCATTGCAGTTTAGGGTTTGAAGCATACATGCGGCATAGTGAGCTGCACTGCAACGCGCACGTGCGCCGTACCGCGCAGCGAGCACGATGCGCGCACATCGCATGTGGCACATTCAGAAATCAGGGGGGCTCCGAAAAAAAACGAAAGTTGTTGGGTGGGTGGGTGGGGGGGCGGGGGGGGGTGCAAGGCCGGTAAGCACTTCGCGCCGCCGGTTAGCCAAAAAAGAATTATTTTTTTTCAGGCCACACGTGGGCCCGCAAAAACGAAAGGGCGGGGAGATCCAAGTAGTTCGTTTTTGAACGGCTCGGCCCTGCCCCACGCTGGCCCCACCTCGGCAGTTGACCTCAGCCCTGCCCCGCGCCGTGTGTCGCCCTCGCCGCTGTCATCGTCGTCTTCTGGTGTGTATCGGAGTAGGAAGCACACCCCCCACGTCATCGTTCAGCCATACCCTGTGCAGCTTCGAACAGCAGCAGGAGGCAGCGAGGAGCCAAGGTCGCAGCAGTGGGAGGAGGCAAAGGAAGCAGCTGTATCCAGGTCGGTTACCACCAGCCCCTCCATCCCTCCCTCTCTC